TAAGAAAGGTCCTGTGCTTACGACCTTGCTTAAACAGACATGCACTCACCAGTCACCTCCTCTGCATCCCAGAGAACCAACTGGAGTCAAAAGTCTTACATTTGGATTCCTCAGAGCCAAAGTCCAGGTTTAAACTAATCAAATATCTGTTTCATTTCTTCGCAGCTGTCAGCTTTTCCTGTTGGTCTCCCTCAGTGGTGTTTTCTTCTGTTGAGATTTGTCTGCTACCGCTGGTCACAGATCTCAGGTGTTTGTTGATTTCTGAGGTTCACTGAACCTGTTCTGTACAGCAGAGGGAGCTGTGGGGTTTCCTCTCCTGGCATGAGAGCATGTTCCATCACAGCATTTTTTGATGGTTTAGGTGTTGAACTTTGCCAGCCTGAATGACCTAACTAAGTACTTCCTCTTAAGTTCTGTACTAAGTTTGCTTTATTTGACATGTCACAATTAAAAAAATTACCAAAAGAAACCACACCTGACTCTGAGTTTTTGGATGAACTGCAGGCAGAGAGGAGATAACAAGAAAGACGAAGAGGCAAATAGACTTGTTCAATAAAATTAATGCAACATAGCTCAAAAACAGTTTGCAGAGGTTGTTGTTGGAAGATACAACATCATTCTGGAGTTGATGTATCATTAAAAAGAGTTTGAAGGGTTGTGAAAATGTACAGTACGGCATGTGGAGCAGCCTTTTTTTTTTTTTTTCTTCCAGTGTTGGTAACACCTGTGAAAACTTGGAATGCCTACAGGATTTTCCAGTTGTTGTGGAATAATATTTAAAGAAATGTAACTAATGTCACACTGCACAGGAGAGCAATTTGAGTTCTCTCTGCTTCTAGCGATGTTTGCACTGTTTCCACTGAGGTGCAGGACTTTACATTGCAGTGAAAATTAATTCCACGGCGAGGAGTGAAAATGTTCGGAAACACTCAGAAACTGCTGCTTGGATTTCAGAAGGTTAATCCAAAAAAACACATCTAATAGTAAAACATCGGCAGGGATCATTTTACTGCAAAACAGCTGCCTTTACTTGTCATACTTTGGCACAATTTGCTGAAAATACTTTTACTTCAGCTATGGTTTCAAATGCAAGTTTCTCCTTTAGCATTTTCACTGTGTGCTATCGATGCTTTTACAGAAGGATCTGAATACTTCTTTCACCAGTGCTCGCAAAAGTAATGATAAACTGGTGTTTCTCTTTACTTATTTGAATGGTTTCTGTCATAATATCGACCACTGCAGAAGCTGAGCAGGGCTAGTTGCTGTATACCAAAACTACATTGCCACAAAAACAGCTGATACTCTTAAACTAACTAATTAAGTTCTTCCACTGAGCTTTTAACAGAAAACCCTTCCAGGTTGCTTCCTCGTGTTAAGGTAGCTGTTAGCACGGCAAACAAACTGGACAGCTTGTATTTAAAAGTTGTTGAAAATGGAAAATAGGAAGAATTGCGAGCTTCTTAACTAATGATATTCTTGTTATACCCTGTCATATCAGTTACTGCTCTGCTATGTGGGACGACGTAACTCAGAACGATCCGGACAGACGGCAGGATGCACTAAATAGGATCATTCCTATGGTTTGGCTTTAGGATTAAGGGCTCGCACCTCATGATGGGATGCAGAGAAACATGTGAGAAAACATCACAAGTTGTCTCTGTAAGGTTTCAGTACTTTCTGCTGACACTAAACTGCCGTCATCGGTCTTGTGATTCCTCTCGCAAGTGTGTTTGCTGACGACCCAGACCAACCAGCTCTCTGTTCGTGCCATACACGGCTCAGAAAAGGACGGTAGAAACACAACATTTACATTGTGCCTCTGAGCTGTATGTGCTAAACCTCAGGCTGTATCTGTTACTAACCCGGATGCAATTTTTATTATGCATAGACAGTTGAAACCAGAAGTTTACACACACAGAAAAAGACCTTTTTTTTTCACTGTCTGACATTAAATGTGACAAAACTTTTCCTGTCAGTTAGGATTACCAACATTATTTCTATTTGCTAAATGCCAGAATAATGAGAGACAGAATTTTTTATGACTTTCTTCAAAGTCATTAGTTTCCACCCATCTCCTCAGTATTTAGTAGTGTTGCCTTTAAACTGTATGACTTTGGGTCAAACGTTCTGGGTTTCCTTCCACAAGCTTCTCACAACAGTCTGATGAGTTCTGGCCCATTCCTCCTGACAGAACTGGTGGAAGTGTGTCAGGTTTGTTGGTCTCCTTGCTCCACTAATGTTCTCCAGGATGGAGATCAGGGCTTTGTGATGGCCACTCCACAACACTGACTCTGTTGTCCTGAAGCCTCTCTGTAGCTACTCTGGTGCTATGCTGAGGGTCATTGTCCATCTGAAGACCCATTAGTGGCCAAGCTTTAACTTCCTGGCTGATGTCTGGAGATGTTGCTTCAATATCTCCACATCATGTTCTTTCCTCATGATGCCATCTATTGTGTGAAGTGCACCAGTCCCTCCTGCAGCAGAACAGCCCCACAGCATGATGCTGCCACCCCCGTGCTTCACAGTTGGGATGGTGTTCTCAGGCTTCAAGCTTCCCCCTTGTTCCTCCAAATGTACCGATGGTCATTAAGGCCAAACAGTTCAGTTTTAGTTCCATCAGACCACAGGACATGTCTCCACTGAGCAGCCTTCCAGCCCATGTCGGTACAGGACTTGTTCCACTGTGGATAATGACTCACTGATCAGCTTCAGCAGCATCTTCACAAGGTCTTTAGCTTCTGTTCTGGGGTTGATTCGCACATTTCACACCAAAACACTTAATCTCTATGAGAAAGTAATTATTATTATTCTGGTGATTAGCAAATAGAAATAATGTTGTTAATCCTAAGTGACCTGAAGCAGGAAAAGTTTAGTCTGATTTAATGTCAGACTATTAGAAAATTAGGGTTATGTATCTTTTTATATAATGAATGTAAACTTCTGGTTTCAGCTGTTTCTGGTAGAGTTTTAATTTAGGCTCAATAATATCTCAATCACTGACTCATCATTTTAACTCATAATGAACAGTTTTAAATAAGTGGAAGCAAAAACATCTATTCTCCCAAGTGTCGAGAGCCCAGCGTTGCTCATTGTACCCTCACAGTTGTGGAGCTGTTAAAGACTGAATATGGGAATGTTTTTTTTTTTCCTTCAAGTGAAAAAACAAAAAGTACAATCGATTTTGTTTGTGAAGCAATTAAAACGTTCCTGTACAAACAGCAGCTACTAAACTACTCCAGCAAACACGTGATGAGTTCATCTGCAAAAACAGATGACTCCATTTTTGTAGATATTCAGAAAACATATTTTTTTGTTGTTTGCTTGAGCGAATATCGATCAAACTGAAGTTGAGTGGATCTGACTCAGTAGAATGACAAAAGTAGGGATAACTTAAGTTTGATTGATATTGTCTCAGGCAGACGATGGAAAAGTTTTCTGAAGGTTTGTGAAGATGCCGTTATCTGTTGTTGCAAATGAACTCTCCAAGTGTTTATTTGCACAAACATTTGACAGTGTTTGCTCAGACTACCGGACTGAAACGTGTCAGCTGAACATCATTTTCCTTAAAGTTTGCACGACACGTTTCTTCACGCTATGCAGCCTGGTGGAAAAGATGAACCCTCCCGCTCTGCTGTTCCCCAATAACTAAATCTTCTGTTGATGTTAAAAGGAAGTATAAAAATCTCTACAAATTATAAAAGCAACATGCACGTCCCTGGTTTCAGATAAATGTCGCTGAATGAAAAACACACCCCTCAGAAGCGTCAGGTTTTTAAGACTGCAATTTATCTGTGTAGGGGTATCTTTGAGTAGATGTTGTTTGTATAAAACTTTCGCTTACAGCTGTCTGGACCATCCATCCATCATCTATACTCCACTTAATCCTCACTAGGGTCATGGGGGGCTGGAGTCTATCCCAGCTGACTCAGGGTGAAGGCAGCTTCACCTGGACAGGTCACCAGTCTATCACAGGGCTACACTTAGAGACAGACAACCAAGCACACTCACATTCACACCTACGGACAATTTAGAATCACCAATTAACCTCAGCATGTTTTTGGACCTTGTGGGAGGAAGCCGGAGAGAACCCACGCTGCACGGGGAGAACATGGAGACTCCACACAGAAAGATCCCGGTGTCCTCACCAGGACACAAACCGGCGACCTTTCCTACAAGTGTCTTATTGCATTTTGTAAACTATCCATCGATTAACTGGATGTAGACGGACACAAATAAAATCAGCACTGAAAGAAAAATCCTAAATACTCAGCTGCTAAATATCACAGCAACGAGTGGTCGCTGTCTCACAAAGCCTGTTTTCATACATAAAATTGGACAAATAATAAATTGACATCTCAATCAACAACACTGGGATACTTAAACTGCATGTTGTGGATCATTATTTATAATGTAGGATATCTGTTAGTGAAAGCTGCGTGGACACATCTGCACACATCTGCTACAGTCTTAATATATCTACCTCCACCTTTTGCACCGCCTCCAGCTGGTCGGTCGGCTTTGCTGAACTGGATACCTTCGACAAACAGGGCGTGGCAGAGCTGGGCAGGGTCTTCAACTTACCTTCTACTTAAACCCTCACGGCCGATCGTCTCTTCACTGTGTGGACTCATCTCCTGAATCCAGGTAGGAACAGGCTGCAGCACAACCAGCATAAAGAAACACACTATCAGCGCTGCTTTTACTTTATGACTTCTGCAAACTTTAGTTATAAGCTGCTGTGATAAGATAAGATTGCTCAAACTTAAGATTTTAAGTCGTATATTTTGAGGAAACTACTGGTGATTGTATGCTATATTCTGATTGCAGGCTCTTGCTTCATCGAGGCTTCCTTCGCTTTTCACAGGTATGTGAAAATCTTTCGGAGAGATGCTGAAAATCTAGATTCAAATTATGATTAATCAGTTCCACATTCCTGTGTCTGTTGTCATTATTGATGCTATATATATTATCTCTCTGTGTCCAGACCTTCTACACTGAAAATGAGCTGCTCCATGGAACTAACTAATTTGGAAACAGCTGTGGCTTACATGTTCAGCGTCTTTATGTCCAAACAAGGGGACAACGGAAAAATGGATAAATGGGATTTTAAAGAGGTGCTGAATAAGGAGCTGCCTTCATTCACCAAGGTGAGGAGAGCAGTCTCTAATTGTAGATATGCTTGTGTACACACACATATACATAAACAGGTTCTTGTAACTGTGTACAACTACACCACAGCATGCTCTAAATACATATTTGATGGACTTTATTCCTCACAAAAATAAATGGGGGAATCAAAGAAAAGCATTTCCACTTAAGGAAACTCCCAAAAAGCACTGATGTTTGTATTCTGTCCATGCAGGGAAAATGTGGAGATGAAATTTTCCGCTCTGTGGACCTGGATGAGGATGGATACGTGGAATTCAGAGAGTTTGCCTTGCTGGTCGCCACTTACGCCTCCGAACATGCTGACATCCTTCAGGCTCTCGTTGCTGCTTACAAATCAGCCTGAACATGTAAAACACTACTGATGGATAAAATTATCCGTCATCATCTGACCTAAATGTGGTTTCATCTCGGAACAATAAAACAGTTCCAATCCTGTTTGTGTGTACGTTTGAAATACTATATGAACTGGGATGGCATTACTTTTTTCATGTGTATATGTGTATATGGCTTTTATTGGCTCATGTTGTCCGACTATTGAACTCCATTATTGCTTTCTTCTGCTTTTCCATCCATCCATTTTCTATACACCGCTTAATCCTCATTAGGGTCGCGGGGGGGCTGGAGCCTATCCCAGCTGACTTAGGGCGAAGGCAGGGGACACCCTGGACAGGTCGCCAGTCCATCGCAGGGCTACACTTA